CCTGGTCACCAGATGGAGGAACGTCTTGGACAAGATCAAAGCCAGAGGGAGCTCCATCAGTGCCATCAGGTCGTCCTTATGTTGCTCCGTCTACAAAATCAGAATTTTAGACAGCATCAAGTTTGACGAAAATTTAAAGTTTAATTAATTGCAAGCTGCACCTTCCTGAACGCCAATACCATGTAAATGGAGACACCGAGCATGTATTGTGTCATGATTAAAATCCCAGCTACTTGGAAATAATCAGGATCAACTTCCCAGTAATAAGAAACCGTGAATATGACACCGGCTATCAAACCGAACGCGATGGCAATCATAAACAAAAGACGATCTTTCAAAGGAATTTTCTCATTCGCCGACGTCGATAGGATCGAAATTTTCTTGCGATGTGCCGACTTGTCGTCGTTCTTAGGCGTGGAATTTGATTCCTCAGGCTCGAGGGAACGCATGCTTTGCAGAAAATTGTACATCACATCACTTCTACTGTAGAGGATAAGCATGGCCGTCAATAGAAGAAAGTTTTCAATACAGGCCAGAAAAACCGTGACGCTCAGAGATAGGCTGCGAGAGAAGATTCTTGATCCAAATGCCTTGATTGAGTGGTAAGAATGATTTAATATCAAACACAGGCCCAGGAAGTTGATTGCATTAAACCAGAAGCTGGCCATTTGCCAGAGCAGATGATGGAAGAAAATTGATTTTCGTTTTTGTGGATGCCATTTGAATAGACCAATGTAGAGGAAGAAAATACGAGAGATTCTATCTTCCAAATACATTACGTAAAATTTAAACACTTTATTCGGTTAAGATTATTTTCCGTGAAATGAATCGAAAATGAAGACACTTATTTGTTAGGCTGTTGGAAAACAAATTTCCCAGCAGGTCTCTGAATATCAAAAAGCAGTCCAAATACTTTGAACCACCTGTGAAACCAAATACTTTGAAACATGTGAAACTTTCAATAATTCAGACTTCTTTCAGTAGAAACTCCTACTGAGAAACAGGACGTTTTTTCCAATGATACGTAAGTCCAATAGTAAAATAGAAGGTCTTTCCCTCGATAAATGTAACCGAAAAACAGGACGCGTTTTCATCAATAAATGCAGTAGAACTTCTTGAAACCTTAAACGATGCTAGCTTTTAACTCAAATTTTCCACGAGCATCACAAATCCTCATGCAGGATTCCCAAGCACGGACGTCTATTTGAGCGTCAGTCTCTGGCATAACTCATGCCAATGTAATTTCATGCGCTCACTGTTTTCAGAGCCGTAATGTGAGCACAGAAACTGAGCGTTAATGTGAGCACACACATACTGAGCGTTAATGTGAGCACACACTCTGAGCGTTAGTGTGAGCACACAAACTGAGCGTCAATGTGTTCACACACATACTGAGCGTTAATGTGAGCACACACATACTGAGCGTTAATGTGAGCACACAAACTGAGCGTTAATGTATTCACACACAAACACCGCATTAGTGATGATCAACTTCGCTGTACAATGGATTGCCGGACTTCATCACTCATGGACAAAATCAATGCGCGTTCAGCGCTGTACACACATCAGTGTGGTCCTCAGGGGCACTCACTGAGTGAGTTATTAATGAGATTAATTCGATAATACAGAAGCAGGTACAACAAAGGAACAACTTCAGGTCTCTGAAGTTGTTCCTCAGGTCTGAACCTTTGACCTTAAACACATCACACACTGCGACACAAGAAATGTGTTGTTCTTCATTCCAATAAATTATTGATTGTTGTATGCTGATGAATATGATTATAAGATCCCAATATACTGATTAACAGCTTAATACACTGTTTGTCGGATTTTAATATACCGATTGATATCGTAATGCACTGTTTGTCGAATCCCAAGATACTGACTTTTTTTACAACACTTCTCTTCAACTTCACTTTTTGTTTGTCTGTTTGTCTGTCTGTCTGCTACAAATCTTATCATCGGAATTTAACACACTTTTACTCATACTATCGATCTGAAATTTTGCACACTTGCATAAAGTTGGAGACAAAGCATGAATCAAATGACAAAATAAATAATTTTAGAAGTAAATTTTTTTAAATATAAAAAAAATTGAAAAAAAAAATAATTTTTTCAGCCACAAATCTTATAATTGATATTTGACACACTTTTACCTGTCGAATTGATCTGAAATTTTGCACACTTGTGTGAAGTCGGAGGCAATGCATGAATCAATTGACAGAATAAATAATTTTGAAAAAAAATATATATATATTAAAAAAATAAAAAAATTGCTTTTTTTAATATTCGAAAATAAAATTAGAAATTCATTGTACATCTGTAACATTGGAAACACTGGATTCCTTAGAAGTGTTGTCTTTAAAAAGTATTTTTTAAACGTATTTTATATCTTAATAAACTGATTGTTGGATCCGAATAAACTGAAAAACTACCATGCTATTCATTGATTGGAGATCTATTCTTCAGATATGAAAAGCTGTGTCGTTACAACCCAAGTGTTATTTATTTTGGGAATATCGATCTGGAAATTCTGCAAACAATTAGTCTCTATTGGAGGAAAACAACTTTTTTGTTACGAGGGTTCTAATGGCATAATTAAAATGAAATAGCAAGATTTTTATTTTCAATAGAGTCTGTGCGTTTACTAAAAAGTCAGGTGTGCAGTTGTCGTTTGCTTTCAAGTGTTTGATCTCAAGGGCGGCCTTAGCCTATAATTTGCCTAGCAAGCACGGTCTTGACGATGCCATAATTATTAATGTGGCAATAAAAAGAATATTGGGCCATTATTATAAGTACATTATGTTTTGGCAAGATAAACAAACTGAAAACAACTCATGTATAATGGGCCATTAATATTATTGGCCATTAATATTAATATCGTTAATGGTTTGTTTGGTACCAATAAAATAGACATTCACTTACCGAATGACGCGTTCGATGACAAATTTTTGTCATGTGAACGTTTTTCTTCACTTGAAACATCGCAATGGAAATCCAAGGAAAAATATTATATTGGATACGAGGGGCGTTTGTGGCAGGAAGTTACCTCGCCAAGAAGAAACTCGTACATTTTTATTTACGAGTCCTCAATAATTCTCTAATGAAAATATGGTGTATTTAATTTGCGTTCTCAAAGTCTTTGTTTACAAATAGATGCGACGTCTGTCCCTCATTCCGAAACTGAAATATTTCCCTCCAAAAGAAATTCAGTTTTCCGCGCATACGAGTATTCCAATTATTGTCACACGTTGAAAGTCTTTATAATTTCTTTGCAGTTTAAATGCTTTAAAACTATTTTTTGTAAATAAAAGTCTTTAAAATCATAGATGAAAGTTAAAAGCCCCTTAATTGTTGTCATTGCTGTAAATTAAAGGTATTTAGATTTTTTGACGTCAATTTAGAGTCTAAAAACGAATCCGATGTTTAAATGTTCAAAAGTTGCTGCTGCAAGCTTCTGGGAAATCTATTAATGTTTTAAAAACTTCAATTCATTTCGATTATTCAAGAGAGGGAGCTCCTAATTTCTGACATCGGAAGTCTAATTTCTGCAGAGCACGGCTGGCTTCTGCACCAATTTTTCTTTTGACATTTACAGGCGTGTTATAGCCGGCCGCTTTTCGGCCAACCAACCAACAGTCACTCACGGCCAGAAGAACCTGTGACGAAGCAGCACTTTGCATTTTCAATATTCAGACAAAATTAATTACCTTGCCTTCCTACACAGACTGCCTTTAATCTAATTTTTTCAGTAAGGTCAAAGCGCTTGGAATTATTAGTGCAATTTAAAGGGCTTCCAGACGCCATAGCAACAACACCGTCATAATTACATCTATGAGCCCCAGGTTTACGAGCGATTTTGTACCCTCAGTTAGAATAGAATAGAAGTGTCGGTACCAAAGAAATAGGCGAACGAACCCACAGTTCGTTTGCACGTTTGGATTAATCATCAATAAAGGAATGAGATTTTAACACGTTGACTGCGGCACGATCCGCCGGTTGGTTGCAGCACGGTTGAACTATATATCTACAAGTTCAACTATGGGTTGCAGGGTCTTTTTCCAGGACAAATTCCGCAATTTAGTTTTTTTTCCATTGCGCTTGTCGACAAAAATTTTTGATGGCAGTACTACCTCATTAAACTTAAAAAAGTACGGAAAAAAGGAAACCTTAATTTTGCACAGTAACTTACAAATTTATTAGGGTATTTTGAATTATAGGCCTTTTTATCCGCGGACTTGACCGTATTTAGGCCATCTGACAGCGCTGGTAGGTGGTGCTGCACCCAACGTGTTAAACAGTTAAAATTTCAAGATTAAATCGTCCGGGACGACGACCTTGATCGTTGTCATGCGGTTCACTGCAGGTGTAAACTGGAGTGCATGGGAGCGACATTTCCAAATTTTCTTTCCTCGAATCTCACAGTAAGAAGAAAATATTAAAAACTGTAACGCGAGATTATGAACATCGACACAGAATTTTTCGTGTGCAACGGCGCAAAAAGCGTTTTAAAAGACAGACCCGTTTTGACGTAAAGCTTCATGAGCTTTATAAGTCATTTATAATCACGCATACAATACCAAAACTATATTGTTTTCTGCATATCGTTTAGGCCCATTAAAGCATTATTACTATTTACGTAGCTTGTTGGGATAAACTATGAATGTCATGCTCGTAGACTGCGGCTGATGTGATCGATTCGTTCTTGTGTTCTTGTTAAACTTAAAACCCAACTTCTTGCTCGGTTGTTGTTGACGTATGTATTTTAAACACTCTTATCTGACTCACCATAAATCAAAGAAGAGACACGTCTGCATTATATAATAGATATATTTTTCAACATTAACTCTATATAATTTGTGCCCCGAAACCATAAGACGACTATACTCTGTGTTGTAATACGACACGTCGGTAACTAGTTCATTATTTATTGGGATGTTACGTGCAAATTATTGAGCAGAACGCATTCCATGAAGCATGCAGGTATAAAAAAAACGAAATTTCGTAAGAAAATGGTTTTTATTTTGCTTGAAAAGACACCGATTTGGTTGAGTCAACCAAGTAACTGAAGTAGGAGACTCTGAACTACTCTCACGACGTCGCATTTATGTAAAATGCTTGCAAATATGTTAGTAAATAGCAGGGCCTACGGTCAAAAGAAACGCGATATTGTCAGCAATTAAAGTGTACATAGGGAAGTGATTATTAACTACTAAACCTTTTACTGCAATATTACTCATCAACATTCCCGGTAGAAATACCGTTATCAATATGAAGAAACGCTATTCGTTCTTTAGGGTCAAAAACAAGCGTTCAAGCCCAGCACTGACACAGTGCGAGTGACCACACGACACAAGGGTCGCCTTAATCCCTTAATGCATATCAGCCATGCTCTTAAAGATGGTGCATCAAACAAATTAATTATAAGCATAAAGGTTATATATATACACAGAACTGAATATCACCCTCACAGCTCGTTTCAGGTAGAGAAGAACAGGCTAGTCCACAATTGCTAACATGCGAACTAACCACCAAGGTAATAATAAATGACTACCATAAAACGAACGCAAACAAATGAGTGCAAGGAACGACTATTCATCAAAGCTGTAGGAGCACAGACGCTGTTTCACTCGAACACAACACGTGACTCAATTGAAGAGCAGCAATCTTTTTCTTCTCAGTCACATTAAAAAGACTTCTGGACTTCCCAAACAGAATAAACGACAACACAATTAGGAACATCATTTTCACAACGTTTAGGGAGGAGCAAACTCACAAACTCACTATTTGGCATCAAAGCTCTCGCACAACAACAAAGGCCGCGTGTAGAGCAGCAGTAAATGCAAGGGCACTCTGCCCGGGACTGCCTTTTTATTTTCTCAGGCAGACAATATTTCAAAACAAAAATGTGTTTTCATTCCGAATTGGTAACTAACAATCAGAAGAAGAATTATAAGCGGGACTTTCGTAAGCTAAGGCAATCGACCGAAATTCTGGTTAACTTCTTCCTACCGTAAAGAGAAAATAAATGAAGCCTGCATCACAACACCAATGAATAAAATATCAGAGGCTGGTCATACAAAAGCGGCACTACATTCCACACAAAAGGAGAGTAACACTAGGACCATCCAAACTTCCATTCGACTTAGAATAACAGTTCAAAAGTCCACAATATGACTAATCCTTAAATAATAAGGTCATTATGTTCACTAAAACGTGAACAATACAACTACTCACAATTCGTGTTGGACTCGATCAGGCAGATTTCGCAATCCAAATGCCCTAACATCAACGCGAAATAAATAAGAAGGAATCATGAGAGTCCATCCAATAGTGTTTCATTTGAATCAAACAAGATGCCACGATTAATACGGGCGGAGGTAAGCACTTCTTCAAAACTTGAAGAGAAAAAGAGATCGCGAAACAGCCAAACGCGAAGGGGGTTACCCCTTGCACCATCACACGATGATCAAAGGGATAGAGTTTTTTACCTTCAAAGATTATTGAGAAAATTAGATTCCTGTAATTAATTCCTCAGTTCGTTTGAATACAAGCATGAACATAGATTACAAATTAATATTTTTAGAAATGCTATTAGAAATTCCTGGGACCTTCAATTAAACACATGAAAAACAAAACGCGGTTTCCTGATAACTGGGTTTTATAAAGAGGTTATTCCACAAACCAGACAATAAGTATTCAACTATTAATTTTTGTAATCTATCTTTTCCTTTGAGCAGAGTAACAAGAGTGTGTAGCCGCACACTTTACTGTGATGTAAAATATCTCTAGATTGGTACAGCAGAAATAAGCTCAATGTAAAATGGAGAAAGCAGAGACGAAAGCACAGTCAATTTGCCTGAGAGGTAAGCTACATCAAAAATTCCTGAAAAACAATCCTTCTCAATACAAGGTTCTTGAATTAAAATCACTTACTTATCTACAACATTACGAATGCAATCTGCTACCAGTCCACTAACACAACTATCTAGCCCACCTACACAGACAAGCTTATCCTGCCTGCGCATAGCCCTATTCCTTATCACTATCAAATCTCGAACCATTGTAAAACGATTTTACTCTGTCTAGGATTTCAATACAAACTCACAAACTAACCAATAAAATGTGCTTAATCTTCGACGCTGTTTATCTTTGGGTATCGAATTAAGCTTGAATAATGATAACCCAAATCATGCGAGCGATATTTGCAAAAATTCCATCTAAGAACTGCTACTACAAACCACGCAATAAAATGTGACATTTTCTGCGACCTGTACTAAACCATCACAAGTCAAGTCAGTCACTCTGTATAATACTTCTCATTTCATTCTCAATACCTCGCTTAACAAACGACAGACAAGGAACATATGAAGAATAAGCCGACATGATACAAGCAAAAATCACAACATAAACACAGTGAAGATGAGGAGCGTGCAAGCTTAACAACAGTCCAGGAAGCATGTGAAATGCCATGAACTTTAATCGCAATAGACTAATAATTAAGAAAAAGCTACCGACACGACATCTCCCGAGGTTTGCTAGACTTCTTCCCTTCTCAAATTTCTGATCCTTGGTAATGATAAAAAAGCGGATGTAGTTTAGAAAGCTTTAAAAATCGCTTGATAGAAAGGTTGAATCAACTGCGCGCAGAAAAAAAAGAAAACTTCATTTTTCTCAGTGCAAGTTTTGGATGTAGCAGTCCCAGGCTACGCTGGAGCAGCACCATAGTAACTATCAAGACACGAGGTAAACAAACTAATCCTTTGAAATAAGAATCATCATGCTGACTCGTGTTGTCTAAATGGTGTCCTGGATTAATTTTATGCCAAGTCAGGGATATGAAAATCAGTCAACAACAATAATGAAGAAAGAAACTTCACAAAAGCGTGGCAATTATAAATGATTACAGATGACATGATTGGTGGAAAACAAGATATTGGAGTATATATCAAAATCCTGGTTATGAAGCAAAATCTCATATTGCGCAGGCTCATGTAATGCATACAGTGGTAAAGAATATTGAACTGCACCAATATCATACAAATATGAGGTCAGATAGTGTCGAAAACACTCAAGCAGCAGTTCACAAACAAAAGAGATACCATGTAGAGCTCAAAACCAATTTGGAAATAACCCACTGAAAATAATTCGATTGTGAATCACCACACTACAACCGAGAGCTCAGAGCTAAAAATCCAATACTTCATTTTAGTCTTGCATTTCTTCGGGCAGCTCGTGAGGGTTCAGGATGCCAGGAACACTGAGCTGAATGCGACGCTTCTCCTCCTGGGCTGTCTTGAGAGCAGCTTCTCGTTCATCCAAATACAAGTCCGCGTCATCATCACCCATCACCTCCTGAGAACAAAAACCCGGTGTTATTTCCAACGTCTAAAACTATGGTCATAAACTGCAGTCAGCGGGACATGTCTGGCTCTAGAACGTTGCTAGAGAGGACCATAATCTTAACCGTGCGTAAAATAACATCATCTGGACCAAAATAGTGTCCAGACTAAACTCAAATCAACTTATGAATTAAAGAATTATGCAGACACTATAAAATAGCATATTTCATACCAATTGGCAGCCTAATTAATAAGAGACGACTCATAAATGTAAGAAACTCACCCTGATTTGTACAAGGAAGTCTCTGAGATGCTCCTTGAAGGAGGGAATATCTTGGTTGAGGTTGTTGAGCCCCTGGACCGTGATCTTGATCTGGTTGTCGGAGAGATGAGGATAGGCCGCCTTCAGGAGGTTCGCCACAAAGGCCTTGACGTAATTCAAGTTCTCAGTGTGGGGGGCCTCAGGTGCGTTGGGATCGAGACTCACCTTCACCTGATTCTGCTCGACCAAGTTGAACATGTAAGCAAGAATGGAAGCATGCATAGTTAGGCCTGCAGTGTGCGAGGAGTCGGTCACTACAGAGAAGATGTGCTGCAAGATATCGGTGTAATAAGTCTTGTAGAACTCGTTGGAGGCAGTCTCGCTCCTGGCCATGTTCTGCAGGAGCTGGAACAGGATCTGGAGGCCGGTGTCGGCGACGTTGCGCATTGTGTGCTTGAAGGCCCAAATGATGGAGTCGAGCACGAGCTTGAACTGCGCGGGCGTGATGGCCAGCAACGATGCGAAGCAATAGTTGTTCACAGACTGAAAAAAATATCACTGTTAAATTTCATGACGTTAATGGTCTACATATATCCCCCACGATAAACTAAAGCTTTGGACCCTGGTACTTTGAGGATATTTCAATAATTCTCGTGGGAATGTTGCACTATCAAATTTGTCAAAAATAAGATTTCAGCAATTATCTTGCAGCAATATCTTTCATCGACGTGGCTAAAAGAAGGTTATTTCGAGAAAAACAATCAAAGAACACAAACATAAATTGCTGTTCAAATGACAGGTGTAGAAAGTTCACTCACTTGTAACAGTAGAAAGAAATTGGTTCTGTGGTCAGGAAACTCCTCGAAATCTTTGTTGATCATGGAAAGTGTGCACTCGAACAAAGCATCAAAAATCTGAGGCACTTGAGGCGCGATGTGCATCTCGAGTTTGTTGACAAATGTCGCCATTGTTGACAGCACCTCCGGCTCCCGAGCTGCCGGCACGCTCGTCCGCTGTGGAAAAAAAGTATATTGAAAACAAGGTCACAAATTTACTCTTTTGTTTTATTCTAATAAAAAAATAAAAAAACTTTGAGAGGAAAAATGTACATAAATATTTTTTGCTAGCAACAGCGAAAATCCTTGCATCGTGAAATACTGTAAAATCCCCCAAAAAAAACTTTAAAATTTTCCGCTTGCAATTTCAATTTTATCTTGTTCAATTTGTGTTTGAAAATTTATAAAATTTATTGCCGAGATAAGTACACAGGAAAATCACCTGGTAATCAAGCAGCACAGCCTCGAGCAATGGCGGCAGGAAGCTCTCCATGATGAGGGTAGGGTCCTCAGAGCGGCTCACCCAGCCTGATATAAGCTTCAGCGTCTCCTTCTTGACGACGCGCATGCTCTTGATCAGCGGCTGCTTGGTCACGTTCTCTCCGTTGTGCAGGATCGCGGCGCTGATGTTCTCGCTCATCACCTGCATACACGTTATATCATTGGCTTTATTGCACACAAGCACTATATTATTACACATAAATGTTTTATTAGTGAACAAAGGTATTATTATTACATACAAATTCAAGATTCCTTGTCTATTAAACAAGAAACATGATCGCGTCCGCAAGTGTTTTTGCTTATCACTTATTATTATGATTTACCAACTAGAAGCATTGACTCGTCCAACTGCGTTTTTGCTCAAGTCTTGAAATAAGTCTATTATTTGGCTTCTGAAATCAAACGATATTGCACGAAACAGCAACTAAGACAAAGCTACTTCCCGGTGTCTTGGACATGTGCAAGAGAGTTTAATTTTAGTTTACCTCGTTGCAAGACACATCGCTCATAGATCAAATCATTGACATACAGACATCAGGATATTCCTGGCATTAACATACAAGTTATCCCTGAGAACATAGTTGACATCATTGTTAGTCATCATCATAGAATGATGAAGTTGGAACAACCATCAGTCAGGATCATTATCATTACGTAAGAATACATGTCGGTTTAGAAGAGTTTTAGTAGTAGAAACGCGCCTTATAGACGTTGATCATTATTAAACCATTGCACATTATATAAATTGAACGTATTTAGTAAAACTATCACACGTTATAGACATTTAGCATATTTATAGGCAATAGACCTAGACTATCACAATTAATAGACCATAAAGACTATGACTTTCTTATTAAACTATCGCACCTTGTATAAGTTGAACATATTTATTAAGATTATATCACAGTTTATAGACATTTACCATATTTATTGCTCTCACTATTAATAAACCATAAAGACTATGACTCTTATAAAACTGTCGCACCTTATAGACGTTGAGCATGTCGAGGTATATCCTGCCGAGCTGGTAAACGTAGGGATGCCCCAGCGCAGTGCACGCGCGCACGTTCGTCTTGAGGATGTTAGCAAGCTGCTTGACCACATCAGGGTCCTTGAGGGTGTCAACATTGCGAGACGCTTGGCTGATGATGTCATCCCAAGCCAGATTGGGGAGCAGCATATACTTTTCAATGAGTATATCCTGTACACTCTTGTCCGTCTGGGCGCTGATCATGTAACCTACAGCTTCATAGAAGGTGTGCACTTGCTGCGGCTGTAGGTCACTGATTATCGTGTTGATCGAAGTCAGAATCTCCTCAATGAATGGCATAGCCTCACCAACCTGATGATGGAATATCTTGTATAAAAATGACGCCTACACAAAAACACTTGGAATCTAATCAAATATTTAACATGACTCATTCAGCAGCTTGATTCTCAAGAAAATCACTCGGAATTCGTTTGCTAAATGAGCAAATGATGAAATTGAGGACTTTAACAGAAAGAAACTGGATAGTTTCTTTCAGATAACATCCGGTATGCAGTGGCATCATAAGTGCAGTAGAATTATGTGCCTGATCATTCAGTATAAAGTGGTGTCATACCTGCAGCTGAATTATGTGCCTGATTATGCGTAATGAACTAATGATAACCTTGTGCCTGATGACCCAGTCTAGAGTGACGTCATACCTGCAGCTGAATTATGTACCTGATTATGCGTAATGAACTAATGATAACGTTGTGCCTGATGACCCTGTCTACAGTGGCGTCATACCTGCAGCTGAACAAACTGCCGTCTGCATTTCTGCGCGATCTTGATGAAGGTGTCGCAGGCCATGTCCTGCACGCCGTCGTGAGTCTCGTGCATGAACTCGAACAGTTTATTGATGACCGTCTTCAGGAAGCGCCAGTGGATACGCAGAAATCTGAACCAGAGGCAGTTTGTTATAATTTTACCAAGACAACCTATTTATTCATTATTTAACCAAAACTTAATTTAAATTAATAAACAAACAACAGCTGAATTGCTAAAAAAAATTCACTGCTATTGAATTTTTGGTAAACTTGCCATTTGAACAAATATACAAATGATATAGGTAGTTGCCATTTAAGAAAAAATGAATAGATTTGCATACTTGGTGATTAATCTCTCGATTTTAATCCTATAACCCATTTTCCAATCATGCTTCTGAATGGCAAAGCAACCCATAATAAATTGTTTGTAAATAAGAACCCAAGAAAAATTGTTTACGGATGCATTCAAAATAAAATCAGCTGATCATTAGAACAATAAGGTTTTTCAATAAATAAGGAATCTGAATGGAAATTTTGTATTCAAAAATAAAAATTTTTTTATATTGCACATCCAACAAATTTTGAAGATACACCATACCACACAAAAATTTAGTGAAAAGACCATTGTGCCACCAATATTGACAGCTAAAAATTACCTTGGATACTGTCCGACGATGTACATGATGTTGGAAGCAATAATGGCTTTGTTGTCTTTGCCCCTCTTCTGTTCACAAAGGCCGAGCAGATCTTTAATGACGATCACAAGGAACTTCTTCTCATCGTCTTCTGGCATGGCGCCACTGATGCTCCCCACGGCCCAGCAGAGTGTGTTGAGGTTACGCCACGACCACTCCGTGCCGTTCACCTGCGATATAACTGCTTAATCAAGAGACCTTGGTGCCGTTATAGGATAATAATACAGAACGTCATTGATAAAGCTTACCAGGAAAATAGCTCCTTAATCTAGAGCCTTTAGTTGCCGTGATATTTAGGATAAAACTAGAGAGCAACATGCTTTAGTGATGCCGCGATCTTCACTATTGAAGTACCTAAACAAGGACGATTGGGTATGACTATCACCCAAACTAAGAGTACTAACCTGGTTTGCCAGCTTCATGGTCATGATTCTCTCTGTGTCAGCATAGTCCACATGAGTGAGGTACACGAGAGTTTCCCTCATGTTCTTATACATGAAGATGACGTCGGTGTCTCTCATGAACTCCCTCACTACCTCTCCCTGCTCGTTCTCCACCACCAGCACTTCTTCTGGCTTTGCCATGCGACTGATCATCAGCGCGCGTACCTATAAAACATTTTAAAGTGAGAATAAAAAACTAAATAATGATTTACATTATTAAATGGTTGATGAATAAGAACAAATCATCTCTTATCAGCTCTTGGGGTCACTGGGAGCTCAACATGTAGCTGAACATGGAACTCACCTCACAAGTAATATTCCAATAATCATGTTTCTTGCCTTAAAAAGCAAAAATTATAAATTTTCAATTAGACTAAAAACTTTAAAAAGATGTTAAATTATGCATAGGTAGAACATTAATTTAAGAATACTGATTGATACCCCCACTCCATTTAAGCAAGTAAGAGACTGAATTCAAAGACATAACAAAACCCAGTCAATCAATGTATCCTTCAGAATGTTAAACGTAACTGACCTGCGTGAGAATAGGCTGGTAAAACTGCCGCCGGCTGTTTGGTCGAGGAAGGTAAATGGGGCCAGGCCCAGCATTGGGGGATGTCAAAGTTGATAGTTGACCTTGCTCTACCAAATAGTGATAAACTGTTTGTGTAGAAAGAATATTATGGTTTGAGACTTTCAAACAAGTCTGTGAATATATTAGGAATCCTTCAACTTTAAGTATACTTGTATTTGCTGATTTCAAGTGGTAAATAAATTAATAGATGATTAAGATAAGAGACGGTTTTAGACACAAAAACTAATTCCGACACAGCTTGGAATTAGACACACACAGCTCGTTCCAAGCTGTGTGCACAAATTAAAATTTTCTTAATTAAAAGCTCAATAGCTCTTAATTAAAAGCCTAATTAAGCAGTGTTCAACATTCAATAGTGTTCTAATTCCGAGCTGTGTCGTATTCCAATACAGCTCACACAGCCATCAGAATTTGAACACAAGAGGACAGGGTGCAGAAGGTGGAAGTAGCGTCACCAATTTATGGGTTTTTAAGCCCAAAGCATCGCCGACCAATTTCAAGATGCATCGCCGGGTAATTTTTAATGAAAAGCCATTTACGCTGAGTAATGAAAAACTATTTACAAGCCACGAACTTATTTACAAGGTTGCGTGCACGTGTTACCCCAAATAACTAATTTTACCCTAAAAACAGTCCTATTGTACAGCAAGTGTCAACTGAACATGTGATGATGCAGTCTGACTGCTATGCCAAAGATCTTGCAATATTCATCCACTCTCTGCACCATAGTTGCAAAGCAGAGAGTTTTTCAGCTCCTCCTTCAAGTTCAATTTTGAGTCCTATAAGTAGACCAGCAAAGTATCATGGATACCAGCATCATCATACATAAGATATTGGTTTAAATCTTGAGTAAATGGGAAAATTAAAAATGAACTGATTGTAAAAAATCACTGATTTGCCAAAATGCTCTGCACAGTGGATCAGTGTGGAAATCCAGAGGGGTAATATATTAACTGGTAAACATAGCAAGTTGGAAAGCAGGACCCAAAAATCTGGAACATCCAGCACACTTCCACTTTCAGTCCATCATCATCACTGCTGAGTCTCAGCAAGATGCCACAGCTGTTTCATTTAAAAAACAGTGCTTGCATCATCACAGTAACAAGAATCCAATCAACGCTTGAACGCGTCCAACGTAACAGTCACAAGAATCCAATCAATGCTTGAAATTAAGAAAAAATGAATAGATTTGCATACTTGGTGATTAATCTCTCGATTTTAATCCTATAACCCATTTTCCAATCATGCTTCTGAATGGCAAAGCAACCCATAATAAATTGTTTGTAAATAAGAACCCAAGAAAAATTGTTTACGGATGCATTCAAAATAAAATCAGCTGATCATTAGAACAATAAGGTTTTTCAATAAATAAGGAATCTGAATGGAAATTTTGTATTCAAAAATAAAAATTTTTTTATATTGCACATCCAACAAATTTTGAAGATACACCATACCACACAAAAATTTAGTGAAAAGACCATTGTGCCACCAATATTGACAGCTAAAAATTACCTTGGATACTGTCCGACGATGTACATGATGTTGGAAGCAATAATGGCTTTGTTGTCTTTGCCCCTCTTCTGTTCACAAAGGCCGAGCAGATCTTTAATGACGATCACAAGGAACTTCTTCTCATCGTCTTCTGGCATGGCGCCACTGATGCTCCCCACGGCCCAGCAGAGTGTGTTGAGGTTACGCCACGACCACTCCGTGCCGTTCACCTGCGATATAACTGCTTAATCAAGAGACCTTGGTGCCGTTATAGGATAATAATACAGAACGTCATTGATAAAGCTTACCAGGAAAATAGCTCCTTAATCTAGAGCCTTTAGTTGCCGTGATATTTAGGATAAAACTAGAGAGCAACATGCTTTAGTGATGCCGCGATCTTCACTATTGAAGTACCTAAACAAGGACGATTGGGTATGACTATCACCCAAACTAAGAGTACTAACCTGGTTTGCCAGCTTCATGGTCATGATTCTCTCTGTGTCAGCATAGTCCACATGAGTGAGGTACACGAGAGTTTCCCTCATGTTCTTATACATGAAGATGACGTCGGTGTCTCTCATGAACTCCCTCACTACCTCTCCCTGCTCGTTCTCCACCACCAGCACTTCTTCTGGCTTTGCCATGCGACTGATCATCAGCGCGCGTACCTATAAAACATTTTAAAGTGAGAATAAAAAACTAAATAATGATTTACATTATTAAATGGTTGATGAATAAGAACAAATCATCTCTTATCAGCTCTTGGGGTCACTGGGAGCTCAACATGTAGCTGAACATGGAACTCACCTCACAAGTAATATTCCAATAATCATGTTTCTTGCCTTAAAAAGCAAAAATTATAAATTTTCAATTAGACTAAAAACTTTAAAAAGATGTTAAATTATGCATAGGTAGAACATTAATTTAAGAATACTGATTGATACCCCCACTCCATTTAAGCAAGTAAGAGACTGAATTCAAAGACATAACAAAACCCAGTCAATCAATGTATCCTTCAGAATGTTAAACGTAACTGACCTGCGTGAGAATAGGCTGGTAAAACTGCCGCCGGCTGTTTGGTCGAGGAAGGTAAATGGGGCCAGGCCCAGCATTGGGGGCATGGGGTAATGGACTTTCCCTGTACAGGTCTGATGCTAAAGCGTTCCAGTACTCCAGACATATCTTGAATACCTCAGTATCTTCAACTTCTGAGATTAGGATCAGGTACTGCAAGGCCTTGAGCAGGGACTCGTATAGCTGCCGTTGTTCAACAAGAGGTCCACGCTCTTTCAGAAAAGTGCATAAAAATAGTGCTAGGTTCTGTATAAATTGCTGCTCAGCGTCATTGCCAATAGCATAAGCATCCTTGATGTTGGTTTCTATAGGAAGCATCTCTTGGAGCTGTGTGATGGTTTGGGAGAACATCATGATGTAGGACTCATCATAATGAGGGACAGCTACACCTGCTATTTCCGTCAAGCACTTAAGAGTAACATTTCGGAACAGCGGGAGAGATAAAAACTTGAAAATAAGTGTGCTGATGAGCTTGGTCTCAAAAATGTAACCAAGTGGGATCCAGTTTAGAAATCTAAGTAGAGTCTCTAGCGTTGCACTCACGAGCTGGGGATTTTGAGAGTTTTCCATGACGTAGAGACAGAGCATGAAAACTTGTTGGAACTCAGAGCACATGGTGTCCTTGAGGTGCTTGGCTTTAGTTTGTGTCATCTGACCAGAGCTGAAGTCAAAAACTTCCTCAGAGAGGAGCTTTAAAATCACCATGTTATTTTGACACATAGACTCATTAGACTTGCTGGCCCCCACAATATCTGGGATGAAAGATGTCCAATTCTTGGGCCACTCTCTTTTCAAAATGTGTACCAAAATAATGTTCAATTTACCAAGGTACACTTTCTCCTTTTCAAGGGATTCTGCATTACTGGACAATTTTATGATGACATTAACAATGTATTTCTTGATGCCATCACACTGGTCTCGAGGTAAAACTTTCCAGCGGGTGTTAATAACTTGCTGCAATATTTGAAGTGCATAATATTTGGTCTGGGGGTTGCTTGAATACTCCAAGATGGCATCAACCCGCGTCCAAGCATCAGGATGCTCCTTTAAGGTGGTCAGTACCTCCTGTGCCACTCTTTGCTGCAAAGAAACAACTGTTTTACTAGATGCATAAGATATCTATGCTTCCATAAGAAAAAAGCATTAGTGTAAGGATTTAGATGGATGCCCTAAAATTTCAGATCATGTTATAAGTATGTTATCATTTTTTACATTTTAAAATCAATATTTGACATGGCATTGCAGAATCTGTTGTGCTGTCATATCAAATGCCGCTGAAATTAGATACAAATTGGTGTAGAGGTTAGTACTTTTTATGAGCTGCTCAACATTATTAGGTTTATTCCACAGGAAAAAACCTTGCCCACCTTATCTCCAGTACCATTATACATGCAGCTGATGATATTATCAAGCAATTCAATGTCAAGTTTCTGACTGAAATCTAGAAGCCGAGCTGCCTCAGATGCCAGCCCTGGTGGGCTGTTGGGCGCAGTGGCAGCAGCTGCCGGAGCTGTTGCTGCACTCATCATATTTGAACGTTCCTGTACAAAAAGTGCAGGTGAGAATCCATCAAATTAAACAAGGCATATATATTATATATCTAGTTTGCACTAGGCATAAATTGGTCAACTGCCTAATCTGTTATTACCACAGTGGTTCAATATTATCATGATTTATTCATGAAATTGACTAATAAATTTTAATTGAAACTCTAGATAGGATAAAACTACTAACCATTTTAGCAAATTCATACATTTATCAAAATTAAAACATATCTAAGAAAAATATGGCGAGTGTCTCAGCCAACTAAAAAACTGAATTGCTGAACATACTTGGTTGGCAGGCAATTTGAAATACTCTTGCAATATAACTTAATTAAAGTTGCCTTTAATATCATAAATTGATTACTCATTAAATTATTATAGATTAATATCATTGAATCATTCTATAAACATACAATATACTACTAATTGATATCTTAAACAACAATACATGGGTATAAATATATACCATCAAACGGGGTAATAAGGGGCGAGCGGGGTAATAAGGGACAGTCCTCCAACATTTTGTAGAAATGTGGTAGCAGCTAAACACATTAAAATATTTCAAAACAAAAAAATAGTGGCATAAAGTTCAACATTTTTCCATCTATATAGCATTAAGCAAGTTAAGAAATCATACATTTACTACCTCCAAAAAATTCTTGAAAAAAGTGTGAAAAGTAAGATTTTGGAAAAGTACCTCTGCTAAGGTCTGTAGCAAAAAAAAATATTCATCATATAATAAAATTTTACTTCAATAAAAGTCACACACATATGATTGACAGAATTAGCGTATCTCATTCCAGAGAAAAATGGCTGCCATTTCGCACGACATGGTAATAAGGGACACCCCATGGGGTAAAAAGGACACCCCACAAGGTAATAAGGGACACCCAACGGGGTAATAAGGGAAACCCATAAAAACGCATTTACAGCAGAACCTTGGTTAGCAAAGGCTCCAGTTAACCAAAAATCAACTAACAACAAAAAATTTTGATTAGATTTTCCTAGCTCAGGGAAAAAATTTCACTTGATAAAAAATTAGTGCATCATTGGCCATCATCAAACTGTGCATAGAATAATTAACCTAAACTATGATTTTTTCATATAAACATAACTACAGTTAGCGCAATAAAAACTGGCACCCTTCCATCCATTATCACTGTTTTGGCATGGTCAATTTCATTTGCATTTCAGAAGCTGTAAATATTGCAATCTACTAAAAGGAGGTTTCTGGTAACTACCAAGACCCTGACGAGTGTTGCCAGTCACTCAGGGATATGTCAGTTGCCAATTTGTGTTTGTAGCAGGTGCAGGTTTTGATTCGTGCTAGGCCCAATTTTTCAGTGAAAACTCTTTTTCTTTAATAAATGTCATTGTGAAATTGCGATTGATCAATATGGCCCCTAAACAACTCACACTTGTGGAAAAAGTGCATATTATGACATTACGTGAAAAAATAGTTTATAAACATTTCTGGGAGGAGCCGTAGGTCCATCTTGAGGGTCCTTGCAGTGCAAAAAAATATAACTCAGTACTCACTGCAGTGAGTGACAGAGAGAGCATTATCTTGTCGACAAAAACGTGAAGTCACAGATGGACAGACAGACGGACATGGCAAGCACAATAGTGCATTTTTTCCATAAATGAGAAAATGTGCTAAAAATTTACACCTGGGGAGGTGCTGAAGAGGAAAGTAGGGTCTGGGAGACCTAAATAAAAAGACCAGAAATGACTGACAAGCTTATAAAGCGTGAAGTTACCGTTAATCCAAAAATTACTGCAGTCCAAGTTCCAACTGAAAAAAAAAATCATCCAATGTTGCTTCAGCAGGTGTATGGCAATAGCAATGCTGCACAGGTCTACTGTGCAGCATTGCCTGCAAAAAGACCTAGGCCTACCTTGCTGGGTCATGGCAAAAAAAAAAACTTCTCAATGCCTGTATGGTGAAGCAAAGAATGGGTTTTGCCCATCTTCCTTGGACACCTGAGCAATGGTTAAAAGTGATGTGGACTTGTGGAGCAACATGAGCACGTTTCAGATGTTTTCCAACTGAAGAGAAAGAGTCCATAGGCCTAGTGGCTCTGACCCTTTTGCCCCAAGCACACATCTAAAACTGTGAAACATCCTGAATCCTGTGAAACATCCTGGTTTGGGGCTGTTTCAGTGGCAGCTGAGTGGCCTAATGGGTATAGGGAGTCTGTTTTTCCTCCCAAAAAATGCTACAATGAATGGTGGTCACTACATTGAGTGTTTAAAGGAACATTTGCTGCTGCCCTATGAAATTCATGGAACATAAATTTTCATGCATGACAAGGCTCCCTGCCACATGTCCAAATCCAATAAAGTGAAGAGAGACTTACCTTGCAGAGAAGGGTATTGAGGTCTTGGAATTGTGTGAAAATAGCCCTGATCTTAATCACATTTAAAATGCATGGAAACACGTGAAGAGACAGAAGAGTAAGCTGAGAATTGAGTCTGGATTGATTGAATTGAATGAGTCTGGATTCAGGAAACGGATGTTCCAATATTTTGAAAACTTAGCCAGGAGTATGCTAAATCACCTTAACAGTTAACCCTTTACGGCCCAGGTGTACCGTACAGTTGCCTTTCAAATAAGCTCTGCAGTATTAAAATTGTGACCAGAATTTGGCACCAGCACCATCAACCAGGGCTACTCAGGACAGGCGGGGCTACTCAGGACAGGCAGGGCTACTCGGGACAGTCCTCCGACACGGCGTAAAACTGTTATAGTAGCAAAACTAAGTGGAATATTGCAAAACTAAATATAGTGGCATAAAAATTTACATTTTTCCTATCTATGTAGTATAGAAGAAGTCAAAAAATACTACATTTACTAGCTTTGAAAAATTCCTGAAAAAAATGGTGAAAAACGCTATTTTGAAAAGTTACCTACTTCTGCTAAGGTCTG